TAGAATCTAAAGCAGTGCTGACCAACAGAAATATAATGAAGCCAAATAAGTGATTTGTTTTCTAGTAGTCACATTAAAAAAGTAAAAAGAAACAAGTGAATTAATATCCAGATTACTTCATGGAGTATTTAATATAAAAATTAAAATATTTTATATTCACTTCCTTCCTCCAAATCCAATTTATATTTGACATATATAGGACACCTCAATTCAGACGGTAACATTTCATTGGAAATATTTGATTTGTATTAGATTTCATAAATTTATAATTGGAAAAGTAGATTCACACACTCAAGTTGTTTCAAACATATATAAGTTTTCCAGTACTTGAAGTAAATGTAGGTTTTTTGATTTGTACTTTAAATTAATTAAAATTAAAAACTCAACTTTCTCACCCACACTTACCATATTTCAGAAGTTCAAGAGCTAAATGTGGCCAACAGCTACTGTACTAGATGGGGTGTGAATACAGACTCTATGTTTCACATATAACTTTAATGAATTTTTAAAATCTATTTTTCCAGTACACTGAAGACTGGAAGAAAAAACAGACGATGACTAGAACTGACAGGGAGCTGAGCTGTTCTTTTACACTGATACCACTGAGACATGGTAGGATACATCCAACAGTGAGGAGGAGAAAAGAAAACCAAAAATATGAATTAAAAGCACAGTCTAAAGCCATTCAGTTGAAGGGTAAGTAATCCGGTCGTCTTTTTTGGGGGGTGGGGGGAGTGTTTTGTTTTCGTTTTGATGAGGGTCTTTCTACTATATAGTCCAGGCTGGTCTTGAAATGGTATTCCTCCTGTCTCAGTCTCACAAGGGCTGAGATTACAGGCATGTGGCAACATTCCTGGTGCCACTGTAGTCTGAATACATTCTGAAAGTCTAACTAGCTAATCACTACGAAATTATCTTCATAATGATGATCTTCAGCTATCAAGGAAAGGATAAATTCTGCATATTATAATTAGTGTGCAAAGGCAGGGAAAATACATATATATTTGTGGCAGACATCACAAAAAGTTATGTTAAAAAATTTAATCATGCTAAGATAGTAAGCCTCAGGTAATGGGGAAATTCCTTTATGAGAAACATTTCATAATCTGATACTACCAATTAAATAAGAATTACTCATTACCTTCAAAATGCTAAAGTTTGATAGATTTCAACCATATGTCTTCATTGTAGTATTTTGAATACTATGGTCTTATTTTGTAGCTTTCTGAACTTTGCTTATAAATCTTCAAAGTATTTGTTCATAGTCCACGAGTCCTATTTCTAACCATTTAACAGTTTACCCTGAGTGTCTCTCAGGCAGCACGTTTGCGTATTGACTATCCCAAGCACAGCTTGGGTGGGTGTCATTTCAACAAGTTAATTCTTCTAATTTTAGTATATGTGCTGCTGAAGCGAGCACTACCAGTTGATTCTATTGAATACATTTGATAAAACTGTCATTTTAATATTTTCTCTTGTATGATCTTATAAAGATTAACAAAGATATGCAATTTTTGGTCAACCTGTATTTAAATAATTGGACTGGTAAATAGTTAAGGTAGATTTTCACCCTCTCCACCTTGATTATTTCAGTTGCACTTTTTTGAACTTTTTCCATGTGCTTCATGAAGTGAGCCCATTTAGAAATACATATGAAAGTTCCAAGGTATGTGGTTTGGTGCGTGTTTATTTTTTCTGGTTTTTTTAGGGTACTAGAATTTTATAGCAATACATTTGACTGCGTTTGGGGGGAGAGTCTATGGCTATGCCTAAATTCACATCCTTCTTGAGTTGAAAGCAATATTCCATAATCTGCCTTCCTAAAGTTGTAGACTAGGTTCTTTTTCCTTAAATGCAACGGGCCTACACATAACCAATTCACCAGATTAACCAATGGTCCTTATTCCTAGTAGAACTTAATGACAGATGTGCATGGCAAACCATGCATTTGAAGCCACTGGCCAATCTCTGGCATGCTTGTACTTTCTGGCTCAGCAGTTGAGCCTAATAGTTGTTGTAAATCTTGTATGTTTGCAAACCAATTATGTTTACTGTACTTGTTAAAATAATTGACTTTATTACACAATTTTGTGAAGTAACAAGATTTTCTGGAAACACCAAGAAAGCTGGAGGCAGATGATAACTAGCTAGGGATACTGGGACATTATTCTTTTTTGGTCTATTTGAGGACACAGCTTCCACAATATATAGGTTTGTTTTATAAACCAGAAAAGCCTGAAACAAAAGAATTAAGCAAAGCTCCATTAGAAACTGGGCAGCATCCAGGAAACTGCACTGAGATCCTGCTTTATCAATTGTTAAATACTAGAGGACTCTTTCTCTCTTTGTATTTGCTTTCTTCCTATCTGCGGTCCAGTCCAAAATAATACAACTATTACCCCATTGAAAAATAAATCTAAAGAGAGCTGTTTCTACTAAAAAATGAGTTGTATGCTTTACAGTTGTATGATAAAGGCAAACTGCTGGGCCAGAGATTTAGCTCAGTGCTTCTGCCACCTCCCTCGAAAGTGCAAGGTCCCAAGTTCAATTCCTGGTACCCGAAAAAAAAAAGGCAAACTGCTAAAAATTTTGCTTCTAACTAGGATAAAAAGCAAAGGCTGGAAAAATCCAAAACCTAGGATTCTACATTCACACTGCTTTCCAAGTAGTTACATATTTGCTGTACTTTAAAGAAAATGAAACTAGAGCCTGTAGATGATACATTATGGGTATACTTACATAAAAATAATAGCAAGGAATTTCAGTCTTTCCAACTCAAAGCAAAGGCCTTAGTTCTAAAATGGATATGTATTTAAGTTACTTAAAATGTTTGTTATATAGATGTCTTTATTTTTAAAAATGATTCCTTACTTTAACAGACTGTTAAAATTAACTGAACAATCACCAGTCTTGGTCACAACAGAGAAGATGTTCAGTTAAAACCCCAAGAATCTCATCTGCTATCTTATTACAATCACAGATTGTGTCCTTTCCCCCACTTTATACACTTTTTCCAAGATACCAAGATAGTTTCTAAAGATGGTAAGCATTTATAAACCTAAGTTTTGTGGGGTCTCACTGTTTTATGACTTTAGTCTCTATTTAGGATTGATTCTTTTTGCTCTGTTTCTAGTTTTTGAGATAATTTTTGTATATAAGACAAAATATTTTAGTAGCTTTGTTTGCAAAGCTTGTGGTATGGAACTTTATTAAAGGGATTAGTTAGGGCATAATTTACATACAACAAAATGCACACATTTAAAGTATATAATCTGATGAGTTTTGACAATCAAATATACCCATGTAAACACCACTCTAATCAAGATCTGAAATACTTGCAGTACTCCAGAAAATTGTATTTTCTTTCTTTTTTTGCAGTCGATTCCTCACTCTTTTCTGGCCCCCAGAACCAATGATATTTTAATGTAGTATGTTCTCTTTTTCTAGAATTTCATATAAGTGGAATCATACTTTTTGTTTTACAGGCACTCACCCTGTTGTATTTATCAGTAATTTGTTCCTTAATTCTAAGTAGTGTTCTATTATATGTGTATGATTTGTATAGTTATTTATTGATGAACATTAGGCTATTATGAATAAAGCTGCTATGAATACTCATATTCATATTTACCCAGGTTCTGGGTAAGTATATGTATTCTTTTCTGTGCCAAATATTTAGGGGTGGAATTGGTAGGTTATATGTTAAGTATGTATTTAATTTTAAAAAGTTGCCAATTTTGTTTACTACCATGACAACCAACAACGTAAGAGAAAGTCATTTGTTTTACATCTCAAAAGCTTTTAGAATAAGTCCTAAGTCACGTCTGTACTCAAGTCATCGTTTATATATGTCTTCATTATTTCATTAGTGATAGCTACGATATATTATTAGCACTGTGTTAGTGTTTTCTTCTCAATCGATCAAGCCCTAACTGGTTGCTACAGTTTGGATCTTGGATATAGCTGAAGGCCCATGTGTTGAAAGCTTGGCCCCAGATGATGGTGCTACTGGCATGTAGCCGACACAACCGGAGGAGGCCAGTTGGAGGAAGTCAGTCACCGGCGGCACGTCCCTGAAGGGTATATTTTGTCCCCGGCCCCTTCCCCTTTCTCCCTCTGCTCCCTGACTGCTGCCATGAGGTATGCAGTTTTCCTGCACCATATGCTCCTCGTATGATGTGCTGCTTCACCACAGGCCCGTAAACAACGGAGCCAAATGACCATGGGTAGACACTTCTGAAACTGTAAGCCAAATTATTCTTTTTAGTTGATTTTTCCACATAGTCTCTTACAGCCATGGAATGTTAACACCCTTGCACACACCTAACAATTTGCATGAAGGTATTTTTCCGATATTATCACTAACTTTAAAAAAACAGAATGGAATTGATTTGTTGGATGTTGTAGAGTTATCTATTAAGATACCATTTTAACATTTTTCTAGCTTTTCACACATAATCACACAAATTCCCAGAAAATGTGCATTATTTTGTATCTTCTCTGGCTTCTTTTTTTTTGTGCATACTTCCTCCTTTTCATGAAGACTTAACTTTCTATTATTCTTACTCTTTTGGGGAGTAAAAATAATTTTAAACACATATTGAACACACATTCTTTAAAAATACACATCTCTTTTTTTCTTTTTGGTACTGGGGATCAAACCCAGGACCTTGTGCTCGCCAGGCCCTACATCCCTGGCCCTAAAAGTACATATCCTATGATGCCTTTTTTTTTTTTTTACTGTATTTTTTACTGAAATCACAGAAATAAAACCCTATAAATGTAGAAGCTTAAGTATATTTCTCCTTTCAGAATCTTATACTCTGTTCACTTGTTAGTTTCTTGAAGATTGTATTCTAGAAATAATATTTTAACGTTAAATGATTTCTTGACATTTCAAATATAAACAATGAACATATTTTTATGGAAATGAAAATTATTATACAAGCACTCATGTGCTTTATGGTAACCCTAAATGACTAGCATCTATACCTACTCACCTTAAGAAACTCCTTTTTCTCCATCATCTCATTGCCATCTGTATCTAGCATTTTAAAAGCCACATGAAACCCAGTATGGGGTTCTGCAATAAAGTGAAAAGTGAATAATCATTCAAATGCTAGTGAAATGCAAATTATTTGCAGAGAGATACATCTTCAAATTTGAAATAAATCACCAGAAACCATATGAATAAGTGCCTTAACAGAGAAAATAGAGATTTCTTCAAATAGTCTTCAAAGGTGTTAAGGCTTTGCCCTGTTTTTTCCAGATTTTCCATGGGAGCTGCTGTACATAGCTCTCCTCTTCAATGCAAATTAATTTGAGAACTTATTTCTTTAACTCTGTACATTGTGTAGAACCTTCGTTATTTCTGCTTTCTCAGAGCAGTATTTCTTAAACTTTATTTTGTAATCATTGTAGACTTATAGAAATGTCCTAAAGACATTACAGAGTCCTCATGTACTTACCACCCTGCTTCCTCTAACGTTGACATCTTACATACTCACAGGACTTTGGTCAAGATTAAGAAATTAACAGTGGTATAAGATTAAGAACTAAACTACAGTCTTTATTTGGATTTTGTATTTTTTCACTAAGGCTGTTTTTCTATGATTAAATACAAGATATCATGCTGTATTTAGCTGTCATGTTTCCTTGGTCTGCTCCATCTATGGACAGCTCTCAGTCTTTCCTTGTTTTCGTGACCTTCACACGGTTGAAGAGTGCTAGTCAGGAATTTTGTATAATGTCAGGTGAGGGTTTTCAATGTCCCTTGGTATATGTCAGTATGTGTGAGTGCCTGTGGACATGTTGGTGGGTCTGTATATGCCTATCTATGGGTGTGTCTGTGTGCATAAGAAGGCTGTGATTTTGTTCTGTTGAACAAGCCTTCTATTCAAGAAACAAAGAGGGCCAGGGATTTAGCTCAGGGTGCCACCGCCTACCTCTCAAGCGCAAGGTCCCGAGTTTGATCCCCAGTACCAAAAATAAAAAAGAAACAAAGACGGTGCCATGGTGTGTGGGAGGTAGAAGAGATCTAAGTGGATAATATAATCCAAAACTATCATTTACAAAAACTAAGGAACTAATATATTTTTTAAATGATATATGCCAAACTTCAAAAATCTTGTTTGGCAAGAATAAGAGAACTCCAGGATTGCTGTGACAACTGTGGGATACTTACTAGTGAGGATTGTAAGCAAGAAAAGATACTCAGTATAAGAAATCAGCCCTGAAAGAGAGAAAATAAAAACATTTCAGGAAATAAGTTTTAGATGGTTTAGAAGTAACTATTTAAAGATATTAATATTAAAACTTCACTTAAGTATAAAAACCACATTTTTACTGTATTCTTTAATTCAGCTGAGCAATGCTACAGTTTTAATAAAAAAGAAAAAAAGACACTATGTTTCATTAAATTACTACTACTAGTAAGCAGAGTGTGATAATTTTAAGTGCAAACTTGGCTGGGCTCAAAAGTTCCCAGATGACCATTATATTTGGATGTGTCCATGAGGATACCTTCAGTTGGGATCAGCATATGAACTGGCAGACTTCGCCGAGTAGGCTGACCTCTCCAGTGGGCAGGCATTGTCCCACCCGTCTAACAAAAAGTAGAGGGAGAATTCAGCCGCCCCCTTTTTCCTGCTATAACATCTCATCTCAAATTCTCCTATCTCAGATTGAGATTTATACTACTGGCTTCCCTGAGTCTCAGGCCTTTGGGCTTGGACTGAGTCACACACTCATCTTTTCTGGCTCTACAGTTTGCAAAGAGAAGATCATGAACCTTCACAGTTGTGTGAGTCAATTCCTCATAATAAAGCTATGTATCTCCTAGTGGGTTTTGTTTCTCGGGAGAACACTAATACTGGGGGAAATGGATGCTGGCTAGCAAAAAACAGGTATTAACTAGAACTTTTATTTGCATGGCACTTTATGTAACTTCTACTTAAATTTTACTATCCATAATATCTCAGGTGAAACAAATATGTAAATTCAATAGAATGGAGTCAAATTATATTATTTAAAATAGAGCAATTAAATCTTTATAGCAGTAACTTTAATTCTCTTTGAAAAATCTTTCTTCCTCATTGTCAGTGTGAGGTTTCGGTGGGATGGCCCTGGTTTACCTTTAGAGGGAGGGGCTGCTCAGCTGAAGACAGTCTCGTTATTCCTAAGTGACTGAAGCAAAGGTGGGGGGGGGGCAAGCTAGTGAGCAGGTTCCCTTAGTCTGGCATTGAGGACTGGATCAGGGATGGGCCGTGACCTAAGCTGGGCCAGTCAGTGGTACCACAGGATTTCTGATGAGAATGTTGGACCACTTATTTTTTGAGGGGAGACTTTGATGACTTGAGAATGTTACACCCAAGAAAGTGAGGCCATGGAGAGACTGCCTGCAACTGCCACAGGTTAGATTCAGAACCTGATAATGGAGCCAGCTTTGTTTGGTAGGCCTGAAAAATGATATTGGTTTTGTTTAACCCTTGGATTAGCTGGGTTTAAAGGTCCCTAAATAAACTTTCGTGATTGAATAGATTTATACCACTTGTGATGAAAACAACTACAATAAATGAAATAATGGCTAATAATTATAAATTATGGCTTCCTGATAAGTTAAAAAATTGCCCTTTGGTTCATAAGTTTACAACAAAATATATGATTAACAACTAAATACACTTATCAGTTGTGAAAAATTTCAATCATATATAAAAGTACTGAAATGATAAATAACTATACATAATTATATTACATAATATGAAACTCAGCTATAATTATTATCAGTTCCTGGAAGGTCTCATTTTACCTATATCCTCTTTTACTCACCAATTCTCACTGGATTATTTTGAACTAAACCCCATATATCATATCATTTCTAAGTAAAAACACCAGGCTGTATCTTTAAAAGGACTGCTAACCTATCTTCTGAATATATTTATCATACCTAGAAGAATTGTCAACAGTTCTTAACAACTTTAAATTTAAATCAACATTACCAACTTCCCTGTTTCAGAAAACTTTAAAAAACTGTGCTGTACTATGGATTTAAAGAAGTCCTTCCACTGTACTTGCTGGATAGAACCCTTAAGTCAATCGTTTATTAAAAAATTGTTGTAAAATATACATATCAAAAAATTTACCTAAGAGGAACCATGTGATATTTAAGCTTGAATGCCTGATTTATTTAATAGTTATGTTCTCAAGTTGTATCCATTTACCTACAAATGCCTCATGTTTATTTTAATGGCAGAGTAGTAGTACTTCACTGTGCATAAATATCACATTTTCCTCATCCATTTATCTGTTGATGGACATATATAGTTTCTGAGATCCAGCTTTTATAAATTATGATGCCATCAACACAGCTATGCATGTATCCCTGTAATATGATGACTTTAACTCTTTTGGAAAGATACCTAGGGGCCAGAGATGTACCTCAGTGGCACCACACCTATCTAGTAAGTGCAAAGTCCTAAGTTCGATTCCTGGTACTGGGAAAAAAAAAAAAATGTGTATATAGGCAGGGATGTAGCTCAGTGGTGCCACGCCTGCTTGGCAAGTGCAAAGTCCTGAGTTTGATTTCCAGTACGAAGGTGAGGGAGGAGAAAACCCCCTGGAAAGATACCTAGGAGGAGAATAGCTGGATCAAATGGAATTTCTATTTTCAAAGCAAGTTAATTTGTTTTTCTTTATATTTTGTAAATTGTTTATTATTTTGTATATTACATTATTGTAATCATTTTTTATATGAATATTTTTGGGTTGTGGAACAAATCATGAGTTTCCATTATTTCTTTTAAAAATGTTTTTAAAGCTTAAGCTTTTATTTCATGATTCTTGTCAGCTTAACATAAAATTGGGTAAATAACAGACAATTCTGAATGAAGGGTCAAAATAGAGGAGAACTAATTACCAAAAAAAGGACCATATAAAGAACTATTACATAAAAAATAATTATGTTGATAAAAATACAGTAAAACAAATACTTGTTCAACTGCAGATGAGAGTGTAAATTGTTATTGCCTTTGACCATTTCACTTTTATGAATGTATGTTAAGGAAATTTTAGATTACAGAATAATTTCTGTAGAAATGGTTACAAAATACTTAAACACTGGGAAAAAATTAAGGTCTCAATGATTACTATTTTAAATTCATATTCTATAATGTTATATTACTATTTAAAAACACTATGTCTAAAATACTTCAACAAGAATTTATAATCTTGTTTCTTGGCACCAAGATTAATCATTTTTATGTTTGCTTCTTTAAATTCTTTTATAATTTGAAATTTTATACAAAGAATGTGATACTTTGATAATAGATTTTTAAAATATATTATTTTAGAAAGAAATCAAGACCTACCGTGTCTGGCAAGGAAAGTTGTATTAAAAATTTTTAAAAAATCTAATAAAATGAAGCTCTACTATCAAATCTTATATTCAAATAAGTACAGTAAAAATAATCCTTGCCTTTTGAAAGGAGTTTTCTAAATTTCTGTGTTGCTGTTAGCTGTTGTTTGCCCTTATTAGAAAAACATCATCTGAACCATATCTTTGGTAATAGCTTCTTCTTCTGGAATGGGTACAGTGGAACTGATACCTGGATCCTGGATAGGACTTTCCAGAGTTGTCATTTCTCGGCAAAGAAACATTTCTGTGTTTGAACAGTGTTCTTCCCTTTTATGTTTTTATTTTTTTGGTACCGGGGATCGAACTTGGGTCCTCGCGCTTGCGCAGCAGGCAGCAAAACCACTGAGCTAAATCCCCGGCCCTCCTTTTATGTTTTTGAAGTTGTATTCCTTCTTCTTTTCTTCTACGCATCTCTTGAGAATTTAGGTCTTTATTCTTGTTACTTTTCACCCTGTAGTTATCTTTTCTTGGAGTCGCTATGGAATCCACTCCTATTCCTGTCTGGTGAAGCCTTGAGAAAAGAATGACAGCCAGTCCTGCCTCAGCACAGAGCACTGTTCCGCCACTACCCTGGCTCACTGCCCAAGATTGAGTTTCCATTAGTTCTTATGGAGAAACTCACTTCGATATACAAGTGCTCTGCATTACAAACCTGTTTCCAGAATGAACTATACTTGCAAAGTTTTACTGTATATGAATATATTTTCTCCATTTAGTGTATTACCTTACCTTTTCACTCTCTTGACCATATCCTTTGATTCATAAACACTCATTTTTTTTATGGTGCTGGGAACTGAACCCAGGGCCTCATGCATAGTAGGCAAATGCTGTACCACTGAGCTACGTCCAACCAATAAAAATTCTTAACACTGACAGTCTAGTCTATATCTATGTTTTGGTTTGTTCTTTTGTTTAAACTTCTTTTAATTTATAGCTTCTCCCTTGCCTTCCCTCCCTTTCCTTTCAACTTGATGAAGCGGATCCTTTGTTCCATAACATTTCTAATAGTCAAAATTTCTAAGGACTATCTCTTTGATATTCTTTCACACATTCTCCTAACTTCTGTATTTCCTATAACTGGTACTCAGATTCAGAGATGTGCTGAGATTTAAAAATTCTGGTTTTTTTCCCAACCAGGGATGGAACTCAGGACCTTGTGCTTGTGAGGCAGGCACAGCACCACTGAGCTAAATCCCGGCCCTCTTTATAGATGTTTTATACTTCTATCAGGAGGCCGAAACACAGGTGTTTACAGATAATCACTAAGAGTGACACAGTAAAACAATGTGAAATCATTTCCAGAGTTTAGGTTATCACACCTGTCAAAGAGGAAGTAATTCTTAAGGTAGTCTATGCATGAGGAATAAAAGTTAAAAAAATTTTTTTGAAATGAGGTCTCCCTGTGTTGGTCAGGCTGATCTTCCTGCCTTAGCCTCCCAAGTAGCTGGGACTACAAGTATGTTCCACTGTACCTGGATTAATGATGAATTTTAATTAAGCGGTGTGGTTAATGTAGGAAAGCCATGTAAGCTAACTGAAGCTGAGTATGAAACCTGAATGGTACTGTCTAAAATAACATTCATGTGGAGGAAGCGACTTGGGAAGGAAAGCCACTGTACAGGTCAGACAGGAGGGTGAGGGTGGTGGGGACCCTCGTGCCCTGCCGTGAAGGAGGGCCACTCCGTGATGGCTCCCAATCAGACAAGGCAGGGGCTCAGGGCCCAGCATGGCTCAGAGCAAGGCAGAAAGATTTTATATCTACATGAGTCGGTGTGTTAGTTATAAGTAATTTCAGGTATATATTTTAAATGAGTTATTAT